GCTAATGCGGATGGTCTAGCATCCACAAACTGTATTGCCTTTTTAATATTTTTGAAGGGTTGTGGTTTTTCAGGTTTTTTGTTTGTTTGTTTTTTTATAAGAGGGTATCAGAAATGTTAAGATGCGTGGTAGTACAGGAAGGAGGCACAGGAAGAACAAAAAGAAAAAACCCAAATGCAAAACAAACAAACAGTAAAACTCAAACACTGCTCAGTATGAAGCAACAATATAAGGACCACCTTAAAAGAGTGTGCAGTTCTGCAAAGAAGCAGGTTATATTTTCCACATCTTCAGACATCCTAGATATTGTGAACAAAAGTATATGCTCAGCAGAAGACTCATGAAAGAAGAAAGAGGGTCTTGAGTAGCTGGCAACTATTCTAGTCTCAGCAATAGCTGCCTTTCAAGAGCTATGGCATAAAAAGGAGAGAGTAAGCTGGGTCCATGAAGCTTTATCATAAAGACCTAGATCCATTTTTTGGCAGCTTTGGATATGAAATACCTGTCACTTGAGAAAGTGTAAGCTTCAGCAGCATAAAGTTTAACAGAAAGACTGTTACAAGAGTCTTACATTAATTGCCCTCATTATGGTACTGGAACATAGGACCAGAATCAAACCACCCCTGAAACCAACACCACGCTTCTCCTGTGGAGTTATTCCCAGATCTTACGGCTTGCTAATAAAGTAATTTTAAACACACCTACATTTTTTACACATAGAAGTACCCATAGGACTGCTTTATCTATTTATTTGCTTTACTGTAGCAAAAAAGTGAGCCATGGAGTGACAGAATCCAGGAGTTTTAACACAGAACTTGAATCAAATCTGGTCCAAAACCTGGCCTGATGGATAAGCCCAAATTTACAATCCTTTCAATTTGCAAACCTGAAATGAATTAGCAAAATGAAAACTGCTTAACTGTTCTTAAAATTTAATCTCTCTGAAAGAACAAAACAACTTCTGTTTTTAAGAAAATATTTAAGTCATCTAATAAAAATTCAGTAAGCTTCATTAAAAACCTCACATATTTTAATACAAAAAGCCTCCCCAAAATACTCAGTTCTAATCCAGTTCATAGATGGCTTGTAAAAGTTTTGAATGCAATACCAAAAGTTACATAAAATGGCTAGGAACACAGCCTTTTTTTTGTTTGTTTGTTTGGAAACTAGGCAAATTAATCACAGCTATGAAACTTGGGAAGCCTGTTAAAGCACTCATCAAGGCAGACCACTCTATTGGCTCTCAGCTTTAATCCGTTTGCTTAGCAAGTCATCTTAATGCTTCATCTAAATAGATCACACATTTATGATCAATCCCAGAAGCAAACTAATCACCGTAACTCTTCTCTTCCAGCAATCACTAACTGGAATGTAGAATCTAGCAGTCCACTAATATTAAAGTTATACAAGTAATATCTTGTCAAATACTTTTTTTCCCCCCCAAATAGAACTCTTCTTCAAAACGTAAGACATTTAAAAAAAAAAATCTGATTAGAGATTATGCAAATTAATCACAGCTATGAAACTTGGGAAGCCTGTTAAAGCACTCATCAAGGCAGACCACTCTATTGGCTCTCAGCTTTAATCCGTTTGCTTAGCAAGTCATCTTAATGCTTCATCTAAATAGATCACACATTAATGATAAATCCCAGAAGCAAACTAATCACCGTAACTCTTCTCTTCCAGCAATCACTAACTGGAATGTAGAATCTAGCAGTCCACTAATATTAAAGTTTTACAAGTAATATCTTGTCAAATACTTTTTTTCCCCCCCAAATAGAACTCTTCTTCAAAACGTAAGACATTTAAAAAAAAAAATCTGATTAGAGATTATCCGAAACCAGAAACAAATCCTACCCACGAGACAAGACAAATAGATGGAATACACAGCTACTAGGAAGATAGCATTGCTTTATTACTTCTAACATTTTAACTAACATTTTTTATTACTTCTAATTTTATTTCTAGACAGACTTGCTTTATTTCGAGGTTTGAAATACTCACATACATGGAACAGAAACAAAAACAGAAAATCCACTAGCATATTGTAAAAATGAAGTAGCCACTGAGATGATAAAAAAGCTTGCGAAGACTTAGCAAGACTGTCAGGAGCAATCAACAAATAAAGGGTTTACTTAGAATCATTAAAGGCTGAATCCTCAAATATCTGAGAAATCAGAGCCCAGGAAAAAAAGTATTATACAAAGAGAACCTGTCTGTACTCTCTGCTATTTTTAAGCCTTCTGCATCTCGAGATTACAGAAAATTTTACTTTTATCTCAATGGTGCGATGGTGCGTTTTGCATGGTGGAAGGGAAAAAAATAGAATCTTGAAAGCAGTTACAAAGCTTCTTAACCAAATCAGCAAAGCTGACTGCCATACATCCCACTTTTGGAAGTTGCTCTGTCTAACACAGTTGAGCTTAAGCAACATTTGCAGAAGAATTTGAGTGGACAGTAGTATGCAATACCTATCTAAGGCACAAAACTACCCACAGAGCAGGCTATTCTTAGGAAACACACAAGCAGAGTTAATCATCCTAGGCCTGCATGTTTTCTTAATCTTTAATTGTGTAGGAGACCTGGAAAGGACTTTTTGCTTGCAAAGCTACAGCACTTACTATCATTAAGCAACTATGTAAGCCACTTTATTCAAAGGAAAGATTTCTATGCAAAATGCCCTGGCTGTTTGGGCAGGGCAGGGGGGGAGAGAACAAAAACCCAACAGTCATAGGAAGGCAAACATGTTCCTTTCCAGTGCTCTGAAAGGAAGTTTAAATTCTCAGGAAAGTAATCATAACAATAACGGATATGCAGGAGGAATGAGATTCTCTTCTCTCTTGCTCCAAAGGTGCTAGAAATTATCAACTTACCCTGCAGGACAAGTTAACATCCTTGTATGACCTGCATATGCTAACTTCAGCATCTTCAAGGGCATGCTGTTCATCAGTCCCTTCACCGCTACATGAAGAAGTATACAGCAACATTCACAATGTACCATTGGAGGGAAAAAGACTAGGAGATTAACTCACTCCAACTCTCAGTTACACTTCTCAGCATATTCACGTTTCAGATTTTGTTTTGCTTAAAAAGAACTGTACTTTAAAGTAAAGCAATTCCCCCTGTACAGATGAAAGGGGAGGCCTTGCTGCCAATTTAACTACACTATGGTAGGACAGGATCTTCAGGCAATTAGATGTTCCAGTAAGATAACTTGTTTATTTCTTCCCTCCTTGGTTGATGGATCAGAACTATTCTGAAAAAATGGTCGTAGCACATGTGTTCAGCCGTTGTACTATTTCAACTTTGGAAACAGAAAGACAGGAAAAAGTTATTTTGCCAGTCTAAGGAATATCCATATTGAATTACTTCCAGATTCAGTTTTGCAAAATGGAATAATAAATATTTGGCAAGGAAACTACTTATTCAGTATCTGTGTTTAGACACAGTTGCTAAGACAATCTTGTAAGTTTTTAATATGGAAAAAAGTCTTCATCTTTCCACACAATTATTAATCTTTTGTATTGTGGTTATCTTGATCAGGAAAGAAATTACTTTGTGGAAGTTCAAGAAGTTAACTGTCCCTTATTAGGAGATTCCATCATCACTTAGATGCTTCCTGAATCTTTACAAAGACTCTCGGGAACAACATAGCCCTTGCATTTTCTTTCCCAATCCCAATCATTCCATAATTTCTGCCAGAAGAATGCATAGACAAACCATTCCCTGGATGAATGTCACGGTACATCAAAACAACTAAAGAATTTTTTTCTCTTTCACAAAGATCTTAAGAAGATTCAGTCTTCAGCAACTTGTGGGAATAATCTCCATAGCCTCTCTCTTACTAAGCTTGCCAAGAATATCTAGGAAAGGACTCATTTATAAAGAAAACAGACCAGATATTTTGGAGTCTCTCACTTAGAAAAGGGTGAGAAAGATGAATTTGTTCTCATGTTTTGTCTTGAAATATAGAACCTTGATTAATTTAGAGAAAGATCTAAGAAGAAAGAGTGGTGTTTTTTTTAAAAGAAAGTATCACAAAGGAAGTCGAGTATCTATAATAGAAATGGTTAAAACAATTATCTTAATTTTCATTTCCAGATGGTGGGGCAAGGGCGAGCAGAAAGGACTGCTTTGCTTTCTCCTGCGTTGTTTAGAAGACACTGCACAAGCCATAAGAAGAAAGAAAACCTCACCTACTGTACTTCAAAAAACCAAAAGCGGATGAGCCACTGGAGTCACAGCCAAGCAAAGGAGGGTTCCTCTCTTTGTCAAACAAAGCAGTGCTAGCAACAATCTAATCAAATTTCTTTTTGTGGAACAGATACTGAAATCTGAACCGGAAAGACGGAAAACTGCCTTAGTATGACTGAAGCAGAAAAATGTTGACTGTTAAATTTATGTTTATTTTAAGTTTTTTTGTTGGTTTTGGGGTTGGGCTGTTCTTGGGTTGGTTTTTTTTCTTCCTTATATCACTCAATTTGTTGGGGGATAAAAGCTTATAAATATATGTATTAGTGAGAATTTATCTGAATTACTATTGTATACAAACAGCACATACACAATGGCAAACCAAATATTGTACTATTTCTTTTCCTGAAGTAAAACTTTTCAGACTCTTTCATAAAATGTTTGTTCCATTTGTACGATTACTATGGATCTTACAGTCTTACCTACAAATTTACAACATCAAAACCTCAACTTTCATTAAAAATACTATTACTGGCCGTTTTACTCTGAAATGAAGCTTGAAAAGATCATCCATGTTATATAAAAGCTTAAAAAAAATCCATAAGCCAAAAAAACCCCAAACAAGCTTCAAGTTTGGTTCCCTCCCAACAATGCCACTTGATTTTGTGCCCTGATTTTTGACTAATGACACAATACTGCAGACCAAGCAATAATCTCCATTTCACTGTAAACCTTTAATATATGTTTTCATTTCAATTATATACAATTCGAAGTAGTTATTAACAAAGATTTTTTTAAAAAATGAATACCTCAGTCTGACCTTCATGGGCACTGGATTCATGAGTGACACGAATAGCCTAAAATTAAAAGATATTTCAATCAGACTTGAAATGAGAGACTTTCAGTGTTTTAAGAATCACTGTATGCTCTTCATTTTATCAAATGCCATAGATGTAACTATTTTTGTTCAGTGCTTGTAATAAATAAAAAAATTGATAAACAAATAATTTCCACTTCCAAGGATCTCAGAAGACCAATATTTCAGTTTCATAACAGTCAATTCAAACCAAATACCTAACAGTTTGTAATGGCACTTTTACACACAGAAAACACCATGGGCAAGTGTTTTTGTTATATATCACTTCTTAGCAGACAAAATACTTTAGATAGAAACTCTGATCAGACATCTTGTGTCCAACATTTCTACAGAAAATGTCATCGAACCTCTACTGCTTCTGTTTGTCACTATTTCCCTCAGCCACATGTTAACACCCTTATTCCTGAGGGCTTCACAATAAGCTTAATTTGAACTCGGACTTGGAAGTCGAAGATTTTCATTTTGAGAGAGGATCATCGTTACCATCAGCAGCAATAGCACCATTCTCCCCTTCCACTACTGGCAAAATGTTTCTGCCACATCCTTTCAAGCAGCACTAACGATCTGGCTAACCACACTATCAGCTACCTCATCTAATTGTTTGGGGTGGTGCAGTAAGGAGATTATATTTCAGCCAAATCAGCTCTTTGTGTGCCCCAAACTGCTAGAGCCAAAGAGAGATGACTAGAAGGCACAAATGAAAGGAGGCAGCAGAAGGACCATCCTTTCAGCAATAGCCCCAGATCAGCTTAAATTGACCATTAAACTGCATCCTGAACCCACCAAAAAGATTATGCACATTTCTCATCCATTTCAAAGTCATTTTAAACTAAGCCAGTGCATTAATATGGATGAGGAACATTGACAAAATCCATTCTGCTGACTGAGCTATGGGCAGGCAGGAATACTTTAAACTACCAAAGCAGGGTTTTCTTTGTAGCAACTATATGATCACAAGCTCATGTGTAAAATCAAATTGTTTAAGTGCTTCACTGGATCAAGTCCTAAAGGACAGTACCTGCTCATGCAAGTAATTCTTATACCATTTTAAATAAAAGTAAAACCACATGATACTAACTTCATAAGTTTCTAGATATTTGGCCCTCTCTTCAGGAGTCATAGATAATGAATCTTCTAGGAACTTTTTCAGTGAAGAATTAGTTTCTTAAAAAAATAAAAAAGACATAATTAGAGTCATGCTTTAACTCCAACTTCATTCAAAGCTTACAGAATGCTTCATTCCAAGAAAGATTTAAAGATATAATTACATCGTATCTTTCAGACACTGAAGGCTGATTGCAAGAGGAATTGCTACCTGCTGCAGTTTGCAACACTTCAAGTGCTTTAGTTTGTGGATTAGTATGAAATACTGTTTTTATAATTATAGGTAGAAATGCTCTTTAAATAGAGATCATCCTTTATGAATGGTTATATTCAGAGAAAGTAGTACAAAACATATCCTTCCCTCCGTGCCTCCCCACAGTTAAGGAAAAAAAGGGGAAAGCCAACAAAAAAACCCAACCAATCAAAAAACAAAACAAACCACAAAGCTTACCAAAGTTCATTTTCTCTCTGTTGTTTGCAATAGCATGAATTAGCCCAATTGTTCCACAAGCATTGTTAATGGTCTGCTTCATGAAATACACTGATGATTTGACATCTTGCCCCTTAGCTTTTATTCTCTCTTCTTCTTCTGTTCTGAAGATTTCATACTAGAAGGAAAGTTACAGACATTTCACAAATAGTACAAATAAATACTGGCTACATTATTCAAGAACAAATAATTTTAAAAAAGCAACAGCTAACTAATAAAAACCAAAACTCAACTTGTAATTTGAAATGCTTAACACATGTGGTCCGACAAGTGTATGTAAACTTACTCAGCTGAACAGCTCTATATTGTTTCTTAAACCAATGCCTTGTCACTGGCCAAAAACCAGTCACACTTGAAACATCATTTTGAAATATGTGTTATCTAACATAATTTCAAAAATGTTCAAAATATTTCCTTGATCTGTCATTTCCTGCACCTGTCACCATCTCTATTCAATCCAACAAAAAGCTTTTAAGGACAGGGGTCTCCAAGCGCTAAACCATAATACTTCACATGTTTAATCAGCATGAAGCATTCTTACAAGTTCCATTTTTACATTTCATTTTTTCTAGGAATATAAAATAAGATTTATATAATGCTCACAGCCTCAAAACAAACCCTTCAAAAGCCATATTCATACAGTGAATGCTTATTTTCTCTAGTAAAAGAAAGAATTTAGTTTGATTGAACAATCTAAAGTACTTGTTTTGTAAAGATCATAATTGACTAAAATCTGTTACACTGTGCAACAGTGTGTTGGTTTTGTGGGGGTTTTTTGTTGGTTGTGGTTTGTTGGTTCTTTTGGGGGAGGCTGGTTTTTTTGGTTTTTTGTTTGGTTGGGGTTTTTTGGGTATTGTATTTTTTTTTTTATTTTAAGATTTTCATATCAAACAGAAAAAGAATGAAAAAAACCTGCAAATGTTCCAGACAATGCTGTTCTTTCTTCCTCCTTTGCCTCTTTTACTAGGTACTTTTGCAGACAAAAAAATACTGAAGTAGATGGGCTTTTTATACAAGTATGACAAAACTAAAGTTTGAATGCAGAATGTTATCAAGGAACTCCTCCTGAAAACCCATGAGAAGTTTCTCTTAGAATCTGTGTACCATCAGTGACAAACAGAAACAAGAAATTTTGCCAGTATCATGATTCCACGCTTGCAGCTTGTCTGAATGGTCTAAGTAATAGCAAGAGCATTTACAAAGCATTTTAAATTGACATCACTTGTCTACAAGTTAACAAAAATAGCCTTAATTGAAAAAAAAAAAAATCATAGAGAATAATAGGACAAAACTTCAGGTTAGAGAAGGCAAACAATATAGCTGCCATTCACTCCCTGCCAACCAAAATAAACTCCATGGCAAAAATAAATACATAAATGTTGAGAATACTGAAAATACGATTTTGAGCAAGGGTTAGACCAGATTACCTCAAGAGGCCCCTCCTAACCCGAGCTATCCCATGGTATGTATGCATTGGACCATGCCCAAAATGCCCAACGCTCATAGTATTTACTCTGTCTAGAACCTACAATGCAGACTAAGAAAGTCATTGACCTTTAAACTGGACAATAACCCTAAGATTATCTGTATGCTAACAAGAGTATCTTGTCCTGAAGGCAAGTTCAAGCAAATTGGTATATAGGAAACATGAAAGAAAGGAACTTCCAGACAGAAGAACAAAAACATGATAGAAAAGTGTTTACAAAGGCAGCAAAATTAATAAAGAGGCACACTTTCATAAACGTAGACACAGCCAAGAAACATAAATAAATAATAAATTAAATAAAAGCAGAATATACCAGGCCATATTGAAAGGGAGACTGAGGAGGGGAAGAGTACTCCAGAAATATAAAATAATGCTCAAGAGTCTTGTGGAGTTCGCACCGAACAACAAAAGCTTCAGAACACTGGGACTTCACAAGAAAGATTCAGCCTTCACATACTCAGGCTAAACAGTTGATAGAAACACTTGTGTCCATTATGTTTCCGAGGGATTAACATGCTGGAGAAAAATATTTGGCTGGTGGTCAAATTTGATTGATCGATGCAACAGAGCATATGCTGTTTCTCTGGTTCTGTTTGTCATATGCTTCTTCAGGATGAAATTGGATACACCTTCTGGAACAAGAGGAAGGTTGCTCTTTCCCATGGGATGATGCTCCCATAGCATGATCCAAGAAAGGAAGTTTGCACAGGCAGGGAGGCAAAAGAAAAGTGACAGTCACAGAAGGAGCTCAGACCTGTAGCTCAAGCAGTCAGACAGAAACCACAGCACACAAAAAAACAACGCCTCAAAGGTGACAGAAAGGAAATTTCCTGAAGACAGGTGAGGACAGTTAATAGTTTGCTTAAATTCAAAACTATCAAGGTGGCTGAAATCAAGCCTGAAAAGGACTGCCTACATAGCTGTTTTGGAGAAACTGAGAATGCAAGGGTTTACAGGACCTAATGACTAAGAGGACTGACCTAGTCACTCTTCTCTCTGTTTAAACAGGTTTTGTTATAGAAGTTAAGCTTTAATAGGTAACTGCTTTGTCCTTATAAACCATGTGTTCTTTTTGAGAGATACATTAAAAGGAAGAAGTTTGGGCAGATTCACCTCAAACTTTTTGGCTGACCTTATCACAATCACATAAGATTTCTATAAATTGAAAGATCAGTATGAATCACACGTTTCAACCTACATAAAACTCAAAGGAGATATGTAAGATGGATTTCTTCTCTATGTAGAAACATATGATGACACAAAATAAGCAGACTCAAAGATTTAACCAAATCAAGTATTTCAAAGCCTAACATAGAGGAAGAAGGGGGGGGAATTCTCTTTCATCTTAGAAATATGTCTTATCTGTCCAAGAAGTGAAAGCCATATTGGTACTGATGACTGAACTGAAAGCGGACTGAAGTTTGGTCAGTGCAACAGTATGAAAACTCAAAAAGTAGTTGCATTTGATATAGTCCTACACCCTACCTCTTATTTTGATTATGCTATTGTAGCTTTCTGCTAAAAGTAGCAGAACTGAGCCATTTCACAGTGCATATTTAAAAAAGAAAAGCCTTAAACTGTCTGTAATAGAAAAATGTGAGGCATATTTCTCTGTGCTTCTACATTACCTTTTCCCACTCCAGCTTGAAAAGAAATTGGAAATATACATGTAAGGTTATCAAAAGAAGGTTCTGAAGGAAGCATTTTGTTGTTGTTTTTAATTAAGAAGTCTCTTGAATAAGTTTTGAGTCTCATCTTGATTCTATTATGACACCAAAGTACAAGATTCAAACTGTTCATTCCCATTTCAGGTACAACAAAAATGATTAGCTGATTATTAAATAAACATTTACCTTTTCTGTTATTGGAAAGAGAAGTAGCACTGCACAGACAGGTCTTGGCACCATGCTAAGCAGTTCTGGTTCCATACCATAAACATCTACAAATTGCCAGTCAGGATGTATACCTAACTGTTTGAGAAACTAGAAAAGAAAAAAATAGAATAATATTAAATGAGTACGCTCATATACTTATCTTTTTAGAAGCATAACAGAGTATTTACAATGTTAAAAACATTGCAACAACCCATACTTTCCAAAATTTAAGGAGAATAAACGAGATTCAAGTTTTAATAAATAAGGCTGAATAAATCGTAGTGCTAACAAAGACACACAAAATCCCCATGTTTTATTTATTTAAACAGCTTTATGAAAGGGAAGTGAAAACACTCCCAACACTATTTCCTAAAGCATTAAAGCATTTCAGCCATTTTGAAAGTGTTTTGCCACAAAATAGAGAAGTACTTAATATTCACTTTAACTAGAAATCATGGGTCAGAGCACGTATGAATAAACTTATATTATTTGACTCCATGAGTACTTCAGAATACCTGACACCAGTGCTTATATTGAGGCTGCTGGGTTTCAGCAATTCAAAAAAATTGTGATCTTCAATGGCCTTTTGAGCAAAGAGACACAAGATACATATTTTAGTAGGTGTACCTTTTAAGGTGTTCTTTTACATGAAAAGTCCTTTCAAACTATGACAGCGTAACATATTTTGAAGTAGACAAAGATTAAGTGCCAGACAATAATCATGAATCTTCAAGTAATTCTCAGTTGCTTCTTTAGAACTTCTGAACAGCATCTAAGCCAAAGGCTTTCTGATCATCTTTCCTATGCTACAGCTATATGTCACAATACAAAAAGTAATTTTGGGTCTTCTACCTAAGGTTAAGCCACTTAAGAAGGAAAGAGAGACTGTAGCACCTACTAAGCTTTGACACCCTTAGACTACAATTGGGCGCCCACTTTTTAATCAGATATTCTTCTTTTACTCAGATAAGTTATGTACCACAACAACAGTTGCAGAATTAATAACTATATATGATCTAAAACAATTTGAAATATTTGTGTTACCAGAGTCTAGAAGAACCTAACTGAATTCAGAAACTATTGTTACTATACACACACTGACCATTCATAATTATAAGAAAAAGCTAATTGTACACTGTGGAATACACAAATCCTATTTTGAAACACTACTTCTACTGGTAAAAGAAATACATTTTGCAGAAAAACTTAAAGATGTGGGAACCCTGTGTACTTTCCAAAAAGTTAACAGTTCACAACTTACTATCTCTCTGCTGGAAAAACCATATTCTATAGGAAAATCTTATCCAGTCACCTGGGGCTCTCGAGTTTAAAATAATGAAAGTCTGCTGAGAAACAGCTGCAAATTTAAATGCTTGGAAAAACATGCAGCAAGTAATAGTCCTCTATCCTCTCTAATGGAAAACCAATGAACTCCTAAAGCATTTCTTTAGCCAGCTCTCAGCAAAACCAACTCTGCGGTTCCCAATACTCTTCCCAAAAGTGATACTGTAGAAGACCAGAGTAATTTGCCCATTATCTTTCTTAGAAGGGAAAGATTACTTTAAAAGCTTCATCATACTTCCAGCCAACGCTATTTGAGGAAATCTATTTATTGATACATTTGCAGTAAAGATGCTTAAGAATCACATAAGATGATAAGCCTAAATGAAAGGCATAGATGACTCTCCTTTCCATAATCCACCTAGTGAGTAGGTTTACATACGCACAAAAGAATTCAGTATGAGTTATGCCATGTTTGAGTAGATTCATACCTACATAGAAATAACTGTAAAAAAGACCCCAAATGAATATTTTATTAAAACAATACACAAGAACGTACAGTGAAATACAAGTGTCTTCGTCTAACACGAGATCCCTTCAAATAGCAGTTTCAACTTGTACTGGGCAAGAGGCAAGGTGGTTGTTTTTCAGGAGACATAGCCAAGGGGCTGACTCTCAATATTTAGAGATATAAAGGAGACAGTTTCTACAAAGGCTGAATGTATGGACAACAAGTATTTATTAAGAGTAAGGAAGATTTTTACCAGTAACACTTAGGAATATCTTCTACAAGGGGGCATAACGATAGAAAATATACATACCCTTAAGTTTATTAAGAGAATGAAGCTGCAGGTTGCAGCCAGTGTTTTGGGGAGGGGTGAACACAAACCCACACTTTACCATTTTAAATGCATTATTCTCTTTCTGTTTTACACTGCAAGACATGACATCAAAACCAAGGGCAAGTAAAGGCGATTTAAGTTTGAAAAAAGTGTAAAGAATATCTTGGAAAAATTAATACGGCTTTCTGTGTATCTACAGTAATAAACTATACAGCTCACAGAGCTAGTTCAGTATTTGATTCTGGCTGCATTGCAAAATATGGAGATTTTCTTTTCATAAGGCCATGTAAACACTTTTCCCCATTTTTCTCTTTTTCTTACAATACCTACTAATAATGAAAAACATGGACTGACCATAAATTCAAAGAGGAAAAAGAGGATGAGGGGAAAAATAAAGTGTCTTTATCAAGCTCTTAAGGAAATTTTGTTCCCTTATGTAGAGGTTTGTGGGACTGGGCACAAGTCATAATTAAGGCTTTGCAGAACCTGCCCTTTTTGACTATTTTAAAAAACAAGGTAGTTTTGAAGTACAATAAGAAAATTCACTCAGAAGACTGCTTACGTAATACATCAAGCTCTTTTGGTTCTGTACCACCTTTAAGTCTTGCCAAGATTGGGAAGAAGGCCAAATTATTACCTTTTAATGAAAATGGGGAAAAGGGAAAGTGTTAAGTGTTTACTAGCTGATGAAACAGAAGACAGTACATTTTGAACTCCTATTCTAACCCTCTAGGCTGTGAAGATAATTACCACTTTGTGAATGACAGAAAAAAAATTCTGAAGGGGGAGTACACGTATGGGTGCATTAAAATATTATTTGTACTTCTAGTACTTTTCTTATGAAGCCAATGACTAATCTTTCCATCATTTTTACTGCTGTTATTCAGAACTGTGGGAAGAGTAATGCAACTGAAAAAATACCGCTTATTATTTTGCAAGATTACATGAAATAAGGGTGCAAAAACCCAACAAAATAAAAACAACACTCACTTAGAAAAAGACCCCACAACCAGAAGAGGCAAGTCTAGAAGGATCACATTAAGCTACTGGACAAATAAGTGATTTAGGTTCCCCTGTCCTGTTCTACACCAATGGGGAAAAAAAAAACCCAACCAACCAATCAAAACAAACAAAAAACCCCCACAAACCCCAAATCAACAAAATGCTCCCTAAACCCAAGAAGAGCTACTCAAACTCCTAAATAGAATACTCAATGTAACTAAAACTCCACAAATATAGGGTGCCTTTCATTATTCACGTTACCATACAGCCCAGAAACTTTATAATCTAAGAAATTATAAATTTCAGTATACAATGAGAGTGATGACTAGAAGTGATGGTCAGCACTACAGGGAACACAGCAAGAGCATAGGTTTGGTATGACAGGCAGTGATCTTAACACACAAGCAGCCTAACAACTTTATTGTAGAATAATAATTAAAAAAAAAATACTAAGGAGAGACCCAAAATAGGCAAAGGGGTTATCTCTGTGTATCAAGAGGGTTTCATTCAGACCTGGAGAAAAAAAAAAAAACAGAGATATCCTTCTGAAAATTTAGTAAGTAGATGATAAAAACTGGCAGCATAAGCCCCTATGTAAGAGAGACTGACAGATGGGTAACAGATGAACAATAGATGGCAGGATGGGAAGAACCCTTAAAACAAATACATGGAGCTTATTTTTAATGTGGAGACATGCAAAGAAAAAAAAACGGAGTCCAATCAATGACACAGCCAGATAAGTAATCTTTTGCAATTGTGTTCTGAATGGATAAAAGCAAGGCAAGACTGTATTTAGCAAGGTCAGGGAGAAGAAATTTTGTAGGAATAAAAACAAGTTGTTAGGAACCAGAGCAAGTTCTTTAGAGGGACAAAACTCCATATTAGATATGACACAGGAAGGTCAGAAAAGAGAGGTCACAAGCAACAGCTTCAATTTTGGCAAGTTACCTGAATACCTTAGTTATAACTAAATTAAACCTCCTTTTTTTCCTCCCTCAGTCTTTTTCTAGCTCTTTCCTAGGCCAGACAAAGATGCTGGTACAAGGAGGAGTCAGTTATGCACCAGGAGGTGAAGCAACCCCTTCCCCACCAACAAAAGCATTCCTGTTTTAGGACAGCAGGCAGTTCTGTATGATTTTTAGACAGTGTCATTCATAGGGAGGGACCTCTGCTGCTTTGCATTCCAATTACTCAGCGATTACCCAAGCAATTTTATTCTACAGATACCTATCGGATGGAGCAGTTAGGGTACTTTACACTGTATCTGAGGGCCCGCTCACTTTCAGCTGTTTACGTTCTCTTAGCTTATTGATACTACATACTCAGGTTAACATAAAATAGCAGCTTTATATTTCTTTAGATCTGCACAAGAGAGTGTTAGATACTCTTTTTCAGTCACTACTTATCACATTGCTGGCTCTTCTTAATTTATATGTCTTCGAGCATTTACCTTAGAAAAGAAGATACTTGGCTACATTACAGAAGTCTTACAGGGGCTTAGGAAGAACAACAGCAACAACAAAAAACACCACATGTCTGTATCTAGCTTATTAACTTTTTCAGAACTTTATTTTTACTGATTGTTGTCATTTTTTCAGTTGTCTCTTTTCTTGTTATATTAAAATACCTTCCTGAAAAACACTTCTTGTTTTTTCACTGGTCCAGCTAACCATTAAACAAAAAGTCACTTCTGAAATTACTTTCCCCACGCACACCCCTTATCTGCACTTCTCATGAATTTCTCCTTTTTTCCCCAGTATTCCAGAAGGCCCTTCCTTCTCACCTGATTGTTACTGTTTTCAACTAGCTAAGGGAGAGTGCAGAGTGCTGAGACTCATCTCAGCAGTGCACAGTAGAACAATGAGAAACAATGGACATAGGTTGGAACACAGGAAATTTGAACTTGATAAGGAAAGCATTCAAAAATAAATTTAAAAAATAATTATTATGGTCAAACACTAGCACAGGCTGCCCAGGAGGCTG